GTTTCCAGACTCTAAATGAAAATATAGGCAAGGTGATTAGAAAGGCAGCGCAGTTTCTTAACGTCCAGCACTTACAGCTAGATAGACCTGGTCACGCTCAATCAGATCAGCGAGGCGGTAGAGCAGGCGACCACGATCCGAAGCATCCATGCGACGCCAGGGCGAGCCCAATCTGTGGCATAAAAAGCAACAATATGCAATGATTAGATTAGTTAGCTAATGCATTTAATTAAATACACTCACTTGAATGCCTGGCGCGCTGCCTTGACAGCTATGTCAATGTCCTCCTTGCCGCCGGCTTGAATCTCGGCAATTTTCTGTTCGGTGGTTGGATTGATGGTGCCAAAGGTTTTACCTGTTTTGCTCTTGTGCCACTCATTGTTGATGAACAGCTGCAGGAAATGAGGAAAATTATTATTAGTTGCCAAATGCTTTTCCTTAGATTCTGTGGACACAAAGTCATTAGGTTTTATGCCTTATACCCTTTGTAAATACGTAAAAAATGGTATAATAATTTGTTGCAATTGTTTGCAACAAGCTAAGGAACACATATCCCCATGAAATGTTTATATTTTTAATTGGCATGAAAAAGTGAGTAAACAATTCTTCCATTTCCTAAAAATCCAAAAATAGTAGATTTTATTAACCTGGAATTTATTTTCAAATTATGTTTTTATTTTTTAAGTATTGTTCACCTTCACGCACTCCCCTCGTTAATACATAAATACATTTTGGTGTTAAAATTGCAGGAAGAGTATTTTTATAGGCAATGTGTAGCTTTTGTTAGGGTATCTGTTCGGCAGTCCCAATCGTTGTTTGATAAGCCTTTCCCTGTTTTGCACACAATTTAATAAGCACTTGATGTATACCTCTTGTTGTTGCCTGAACAGTAATTAACCGCAAATACCTGATTATCCGATATGTTGTAATTTAGCTAATATCTAATTAGCAGACTTGCGCCATATCTATGCAATATATATGACCCAGCCATGCATATGTATGCATGCGTGCATATCATACCCAATCACATAAACACATTTATATATAAACGTCAGGCTCTCGAGCTTGCCCATTTGTTTACCAATCAAACTCATCATGAGTTGGCATATTGAAACATCAAGAAAACTTTCCGCCAGACAAGCCCAGCTACTGGAATTGTGGAATGACACGTGCGTGGGAACTGTCTAGGTAGCTCCGATTAGCTAGTTAGCGGTACCACCAAAAATATCAGCATTAGCAATAGCTTCTTATCTATATGCCCTTGCAAAAAACTTAATAATTTAAGTCACGAAATAATTAACGCATTCATAGACTCTGATGCCATGAGGCTTAGAAGCGGCATATATTACATATATATATATACATATTTGTATTTCAATTTTTGCGAAATATGTAGATTTTTTTTTTTTTTTTTTTTGGAACCAAGTTTCGACTGGTTTAACTTGAGAAAAAACAACTCTCCTGTACAGTAAGTCGCGACTGGCTTTGGGCAGGGTATTATGTAAAACATCATTTTACTTTATGTAAAATCTTTATCGGCAAACAACACTTTAGTTCGCGTGGAGGGAAGAATCAAACATGCAATTATTAGTTTCATTATTTTTATATATATGGGGTTTATTTAATGATAACGAAAAGTGCATTATAGTATTAAAATAGATTAATTGACAGGTACATTCAATGCATATATAAAGTGTCTTATCAGTGAGCTTTATAGGTAGAAGTTCATAAATGTAGAACAGCACTTCATGATGTACAAACATTTCAACTGCAACTATTTGTTTATGTATGAATTTATTCATGGAAGAATAACAGAAAAGCATGTTTGTTCATATAAAATTTATGTTTGCATTGTTTGCATGAAACTCAATTTGGATTTGAGCACAATTTGTATGCAGACAAATTTGTATGAAACAAAAGCTAAGCAAATTTGAACAATTCAACAAAGCAACAGCGTTTGATAAAGAGAGAAGGCGCTGCTCTGTTGACGCTGCTGCAAAGAGAGCCGACGTGTGATATAACGAGAGAGTGAACAAGCAACAACAATAACAACAGCCGGGTGTAAATAATAAAAACTTTTTTTTCGCTGCTGTGCTTTAGCCTATTCGCCGGTCTGCGTATGCTCCCGTTTGTCGTCCGGTTATTTTCCTATCGTTGTATGGCAGGCATGCATACATCTGTATATGTACATACATACAAATATTTATCTTGTTGAACATTTGAGCGCCTGTATCCAGTTAATTCCAACCACTGTTATAAGAAATCAACTCAATTTGGCTCCTTTGTTATTGCTACTTTGTTATTGCGACTTGCACTACTCGCAAACTTTCTGTACGTGTGTGTTTTTTCTAAGTAGTGGCACATGTGCATACATATGTATGCATACATATGCTGAAAGCTAAAGGGCAGCTGCGCTGTCAAGGTCAATCAAAAGAGACGGCGAAAACTTGCAGCGCTCTTTATAAAATATAATCAAGATTGGCATCAATGTACGTACGTAGGAATATATATAAATATTATCTGGCTGATTTGATAACATTATAATTACATATACCTTAATATATATGTACATATAATATATGTGTATGTGTATATACTTACGCCAGTGTAGAGCACATCTGGAGTTGTCTGTGGCTGTGGCATTGCCGAGTAGGCAGCAGCAGCTGCCAAATTTTTGCATTCTGCACGCAACAATGCGCTCTTCCTTAGAACCCGCAACATTATGTATTATATATTATTATTGGAATTTACAAAGCACAAGAGACAGCAGCTTTCGCACAAATCTGGAAGAAGACGCGTGTTAGTTGTGCGGCGGTCGATTTAGAACTGAACGACTGGCGCCGCGGCGCTTAAGGCGAAAACTACGATGAATATTTTAAGAGACAGCGCGCCGCTCACACAAATCGACGGCTCTCTTCCGCTTATCAAATGAAAACACATACATACATACAGACGCTTGTGAGCGCATTAGAGCAAATGTTGAAGAGCAATATGAAAACAGCTGCTGATCAGCAAATTTATGCTCAATTGTCACTCAAAAACTTTGAGCAGCGCTTGCTGGCATACATTGAGTGATTATTATGGCAGACATGTGCTGCAAACAAAAACAAAACATGTAATTTAGACAAAATTCAACATAAAAATATGTACGTAAAAATAAATGTATCTATATATATCATCCATTTGTATTTGCAATTGAATTGTTGACTCTTTGCGTTGGCCGGCAGCGACAACGCCTTCAAATAATTTGTCAACTGGGATAACAAAGCTGTTTGCAAATTGAATGCAGGGAGAACGGGCGTATTCAAGAGCTATGGCAGTGTGAGTGAGACAGATCGCACTAAGGGGAATGCTAAGAGAAGCTCTTTACAGTTGTTGCAAGATAACAATAGCAAAACAAATGGACAACCATAAATAAAATTAGGATTTTTGTAAGCTACAAATTGGGGAAAATATTAGAAATAATTTGTTTAGAGTTTATAGAATATTTAATAGATATTACTTAAGAAGCTTTCATTTGCGTTAAAGCTTCTTTTAAACTAAAATCAGTTGCTCCAAAAACATCCGAAGTTTAATATGTATTCCATCTAAAAAAAATTGTATTTAAAAATAATGAAGAAATTTATTTATAATTGAATCAGATGAAATTACCAACTAATGTGTAAATAGATTGCTTGAAGCATAAAAGATTGTGAAAAGTGTGACCAGGCCTATAACTAATTAACATCACACATTTATGACACATACGCAGCGTAGCCCAAATCAGGGCTCGCAAAGGCAATCACAAAAACTAATTTGATGCCAACATAAATGAAAGAAAGTTTTTGTGGTGTACGCCAACTTGTGTTTATCCTTATATTTTCATCTTTTTGGAGTCTGTCCACTTGTCGATAGCCGACCGTTGTGTCATGGTCAATTACCATAATCAAACGGCCTCGATAAACTTTAATGGCAATTGTTGTGCGTCGGTTGGCATTTGTTGGTGCTACTTATTGCCATTGCTGTTGCCGCCAGCTCTTAACAGTGGCACGAAATATTTAATTTATCCAATACAAACAATTTGACATCAAGACTATATGCACATATGGAGGGTGGGGCGCAGAACGCAGGATGTCAGCGAGTTTAATGCGAGCTGGGCGGGCTTATTTACGGGGCCAGTTTCACATGTCCTCGGTTATAAATGTGAAATTAAATTTAAAATAAATTGTTGGAAATTACGTTAATTGAATTTGATTATATCTTGCGAGAGTCGGAAATTCAATTCGATTACTGACGGATGCGGCGACATTGTGGCACGCAGTATCCAGGTGGAGATTGACTGATTGAAAAGAATTTATGTGTAGGATATTTGCATGAATTTCAGCAGTATGCACTACATACCTTCTATATAGAATGGAAGGATATAGAATTTATGCTTTTTTTTTTTTAAACAAATGACCTTTCTCTAAGTAAAGTTTCAGCTAATTTATCTTTAATACGGTTTTTCGAATTTATATAACTAAAAAGTTATATGTAGGGCAGCAAAAGGTATTTGTATGCGCATTGAAAGAATCTATGTTTAATATGTGGCAAAACAAAAAAAAAAAAAAGGATAAGAAAAAGAAAACAGTGAAAAAGGTCAGCAGAAAAGTCGAAATGTATGCAAATGGCTTATAGCTGGATTTACTTACACTTAGCTCGTCCTTGTGCTTTACCATCCTGTGCGTTTTTTTTTATAACTCACTTTTTAGAAGAGAAACCCAAACCGAACCGAATTGTGTTTGGTAGAATTTTTTGTGGTTCGATTTAATGGCTTTAGCAAAAGGGTCAAGCAAACACAGAGACAGGCACACACACACACACACACGCGCGCGCACAGTGTGACAGAGAGTTATGGCAATGGTAATTTATAAAGTTATTATGGCAGTTTGCAGGGGCCAACAGGGCGTATGCGTAGTGCAGCTAATTTCTATGCAAATCCATTTAAATTCATCTGCTTCTCTTCTTGCCACTCGTTGCAGATATGAAACCTATAAGGCAACGCTCAAGAAAATACCCGCAACGCGCCTCTCACGTCTGACCGAAGCCTTGGCCAATTATGATCCGGTGCTCAACGAGTATTTCTTCGATCGCCATCCCGGAGTCTTTACGCAAATACTCAATTATTACAGGTAAGGCAAGCAAATAAAAACTAATTAAATATTTATTATAATTAAGTTTTACCATTTAATGAACCCTTTTAACGCATGTGCATGCAGTGATTCTTTAAACTCCTTTCTATTTTTGTTTACTCCTTGATAATAGATTCCAATTTCTATTGAATTTAAAATATAATTTTTGGCAAGATCTGTGTCCACTTTATACTATCTGTCTATCTGTTTGTATGCCAAAATGAAAGGGCGCAGATGTGACACGATAGACTTTTGGTTTAATTGTTGCCTCTTCGGATATCTAAGCCAAAGTTCTGCAAAATGTTGTCATAAAATCACAATCAATAAGAAACCTTTCAAATTTTTCATTTAAAACTGCCAACTTTTCAACTTTGCCTCAGAACAAATGATTACATCTCTTCAGCTATAGCTACCTTGGGAGCAATTTAATTAGTATATTAGCCGGCGTAATTAATCTTTGGCTATTCTTTCATGTTACCTTAGACACAAAAAAAAAAATGAGCAAGCTTCAATTTTAATTATGTACCTTAAGCCAAATACATGCAGTCATAAATCTCTCGCTTTTTGTCGGTAAAGTTTATCATAATTTTGGCACTTTTTTGTTAAAAAGCCAGCGCTAAGATAAATTGAAAGTTAGCTAGGTTTTCTATCTCGCTTTCTTGATAATTCAACTTACTCAAGATTGATGACAGGGTTTTTACCCGCCGTTCCCTCGCACTGCACCCCACCTGCAGCAAAAGCAAATAAAGTTGTTGAAAGTAACTTAGCCTCATTACCATCTATCTTCTTTGCTATACATATATATAAGCATGCATATATATATATATATATATATAGATCTAAGGGATATGTCAACAACTGGGGTGACTAGCCAGAGGCGCATTGGCAAACAGTTTTTCCAACTCAATTAACTGCAACTCGGCAAAATACCATCGAAGGAGCAACAACAAAGCGTTGCACTCCGTGCAAAAATAGAAGCAACAAAATTAAAATCCCTTACTCAAACATGCATATATAAATATTTATATATATAGACCACGGTTGAGCAATCGAATTATGTACACGCCAGAAGCTTTTTGCAATTTATAAACCAATTTACGTATTTTTCTTCCTTCTTTCCGCAAAGTGGAACTAAGTCACAAGCAAAATTGTGCTTAGAAATGAATATTGCAAATAGAACCAAAGTTAGTAGATGTTCAAATTTAACATACTTTACATACTTTACATAGCCATTAAATCTCGATTTGACCTTTAGCTATAGTCTACATTTAAATTGTATTCATTTGTGCAAATGAGAATTTGTTGCCTTTCTATGCGCTTCTGATGCATACAGTTATTTATATAAAACTCCATCTTTAAAAATGATTTAACCAACTTGAAACACAAAGTCTTCCTTTTTTTAAATGACCATAAACCATAATGAGAGATCTTTCTAAACTACAAAGTTTTGTGCGGAATACCATTTGGCTTGATTTCATTTAATTAAATAATCTAAAATTGCATATTCAATTATATTTCAATATGATATATAGAGTAGCTAAATGGAGATGCTTTATAAAGTATGACAAGCTCTTTCAATCGCGCTATCCATTTAATTAAAAAGGTGCACTGCAGTCTGACAGATCACATAGTTTGCCGGGGTGGGCCGTATATGGGCATACGTAAAATGGGCGTGCCTGAAGGATGATGCGATGCGCATAATAAAACCCGCAATGTCCGCATGTCCACCCGCATTCATAATGGCCTTGAGCATACGCTTGGGCCGTAGCTCGGTTTTTAGCTTAATTTTTTTTCTTTCCCTCTTTTTTTGTTTTTATTTTTTGTTTTGTTTGGCATTCACCGTTCAACATTCGGGGCACGAAATGATTTGGAGCTGGCAAAAAGCATCGCAACAAAAGGTTGCAAAGAAAAGTTGCATAAAATATGCACAAAAAGGACAGTCTGGATGCACATGTGGCGGACACATGCCGCATATGGCCGTCAGCCAGAGCATGCAAAAAATATAAAATAAAACAAGGCGAGGCGAGGCAAGGCGAGGCAAGAGCTACGATTACTTTTATTTCGAATAGTCGCTGCACTCGGTCCACTCGGCCAACAACGGCTGTCCAGTAGCTGATATGGTATTACAAGTTGGCCAGTAGCTGCGGACAAGCGCCTGTCCTTGGTTGCCCGCCAGCCCCGCCATTATTCATCATGCCTCACGCACGTGCAACCATTTGCAGCAATTTGCACACGAAAAACAAAAGGGCTTCTTTTTTTTTCTTTGTTTTTGTTGCACCTGCAGAGGTCATAATGAAACAATTGGGGGAGGATACATATGAGGTTCTCAGCCATGAATTTACCCGAGATATGGATATGCATGGGATATGCAAAAGTTTCGCTATTCCCTCAAGATTTTTTATTGAATATTTTGAATTAGAATTAGTTCGAATATTAACTGTAATGCTTATTTTTAATCAGAATTTGGTCTTTAATATTCTGAAATATATTGTAATATTCATTTATTTTCAGAACTGGTAAGCTGCATTATCCGACAGACGTCTGTGGCCCACTGTTTGAGGAGGAGCTAGAGTTTTGGGGACTCGATTCGAATCAGGTAGAACCATGCTGCTGGTCAACTTATAGCATACATCGCGATACGCAAGTGAGTAGCCGAGCCAAATGCCAAGGAATAGATCTTTAAACAATCAAGAGCTGCCTATTATATTGCAGAACACCTTAGCTATATTAGATAAACTAGATATTGAAAATGAGAAACCCACGGAGGAGCAAATAGCACGTCTGTTTGGCTTCGAGGAGGCTTTAAGCAACGGCGAGCTTAACTGTTGGCAACGTCTAAAGCCCAAAATTTGGGCCATGTTCGATGAGCCGTCGAGCTCAACGGGCGCCAAGGTGAAGCTAAAGAAGAATGACCGATACATATAACTATAATAACTATATTATGTTTGCAGTTTGTTGCTGGCATGTCGGTATTCTTTATATTTGTTTCTGTGATATCATTCTGCCTGAAAACCCATCCCGGTTTTCGCGTGGACCTGCCCACCAGCTACAGCGCCGGCCTGCCTGCGTCTGGCCATGATCCGCTGGCGCCGCCCATACCTCAGCAGCCGGTGCAACAGTCCCAGTCGCAGCCGCATCATCATTCGCAGCAGCAGCAGCAGTATCAATACCATCAACATAGCATAACGCCACCTAGTGGCAGCATTGGTCCCACATTTCGTGTCACGAACTACACGAGCTACAGCAGCGGCAACTTGAGCGCTGCACAGGCCACGCCCATTGCCACCATAAAGGGCCAACAGCAACGGCAGCGTCTGAAACGTGACCTAAACACGAGCAGCCTGAACGAGTTCCTTGAGGATAAGCTACTCGGTCAGAATGGACGCAGACAGCACGGCTGGATCGAGACCTACGGCCAGCCGCACAAGGCCTTCTTCTATGTGGAGCTCGTATGCAATGTTTGGTTCTTCATCGAGGTTGTCATCAGGCTAATTGTGTGTACACTTCGACCCTATATATGTATATATATATTTATATACTCCCAACTCTCGCCAGGTTTCACCCAATCTGTGGCAGTTCATTAAGTCTCCCGTTAACATTATCGACTTTACGGCCACGTTGAGCTTCTATACGGATGTCATGCAGCGCATGGGCGAATATACGGGCCTGCTGGAGGCATTTTCCATAGTGCGCATAATGCGTCTCTTTAAGCTGACACGTCACTCGCCAGGACTACGCATCCTTATACACACGTTCAAGGCTTCGGCCAAGGAATTGACTCTGCTCGTGTTCTTCCTCGTTCTCGGCATCGTCTTCTTTGCCAGTTTGGCCTATTATGCGGAAAAATTACAGGTAAGTTCTGCAGCTAGCAAAATGTTCTGCATAGCCGAGAAATAGTTCGATGTGGATATAATTTAAAGTTTCGCTATTAATTTTAGAGTATTTATTTCTCTGCTCAAAAAATGTTCTTTAATATCCAGACAGAAGTTATATATCCCTAGTATTAAAAATTCACACATTTTTATTGAATTTTTCACGTGTCTGCTCTGCCTCTTATAGGGGATTTTCCTTGGTGTATTGTACTGTTGTTTTACAGAATCCAATGCCCTCAAATGTATACTACATAATTGTGTTTTAACATTGTTTGTGGCGAGAATTCGCTTGATACGTTTATTGGTTTGATGACTATTGAAATACTCTATCATATTTGAATCACCAATTGGAGTTACTTAAATGCCAAATGTTATTTTTTAATTTTAATTTAATTTCTCACAAATTTCTTTGGCAGGACAATCCAGACAACCAATTCAAGAGCATACCATTGGGCTTATGGTGGGCCATTGTTACCATGACCACAGTGGGCTATGGCGACGTGGCGCCCAAAACGTATCCGGGCATGTTTGTGGGCGCACTGTGCGCACTGGCTGGTGTCCTGACCATAGCACTACCCGTACCTGTTATCGTTAGCAATTTCTCCATGTTCTATTCGCACACCCAGGTGACTATACGGGCAGACGGTGGTGTGAAGCAAGCGCTGTGCTTACTAATTTGAAAAATGTTCGCTGCAGGCCCGCTCCAAGTTGCCCAAGAAACGCCGCCGAGTGCTGCCCGTGGAGCAGCCGCGTCGCAAACGGGAGCCGCCGGCACCGCATCGAGGCCGGACCAATGCCATTAAACAGACAACGCCGACGGTGCCGGGCGTAGTAGGCGGCCATACAACTATACAGGCGCCTACGCCCATGTTCAAGGATGCATTTGGCAGCGCCAAAATTGGTGAGTAGAGCTCACTCTCTTCCTCTATCATACGCTAGCTCGCTATTCTATTACATACACACATTGTGCTGCTTATTATTCAATTGTGTATCTCATTCACACACTGTGCCAGTCGCTGTAGTTTGTTGCTAAAAGTTGTTTATAATTTGTTATTGTTTTTCCGTTGTGGCTTTTTGTGTGTGCAGCTGTCTAAAGCAGCCAACGGCCAACTGGCAACTCTCTCAACAGTCCACAACAGCCAACACAAACATGCAGACACCAGACAACAGAACAGGCTCAACTAAACTTGGTCAACTCACACTCTTGTACCACAAACACACACACCCACACACACAACCACACACACACACAACACACATACATGCCACATATGTACATACGCACAGCATGCTAAGCTCTCCGGAGGCCAAACTAATTTCATTCAATTTATTGTTTAATTATTTTATTATTTATGCACCCTTCAGTGCGGCAAGGCTCAGCTGCTATCGCTCCCACTTGGCCTTTGCCTCCTCCCCAGGGGCATCTTATGCTAAATATGCAAACTCTCGACGGCTACTGCTATATTTTAAAAGCATTCTCAGTTGCGTATGTGCATCAGCGTTAGCTGCTCTGGAGCTATTCATCTAAAGTGCTTTGTTGGCGTCGAGCCAGACGCTAATTAAAGTTGAGTCGAAAACATTTTGCATATTCTGCTACATTTTTTGTTGTATCATTTTCTTTTAATTTCTAAGTAAATGATTCGAATGATGCAAAGTCCCGTACATACCGCGTTAAATCAATTTTGCAAAAACAACTTTCAGCCTTGGATATTGAGAGTAGGGCTGACACCCTTTTGACTTCATTAACTTTTTTCAAGACATTGTGGAAGAGTCTTTAGATTTAATTATGCACATTATGGATTAAAAATCCTTTTGCTTTTAGTTTTTTAATTTTTTATGAAATAAATTAAAAGATGCACAGCAAATTCTTTTACTCAAAACACTCAAAAAAATGTCGTATTGAAATAGGTATTTGGTTTTTACATCCATTTAGTTTTCTATTTTATTTTTTTTGTTCTCAAACTTTATATTTATGTTTTATTTTTATATATTTTAAAATTATTGAAAATTGTTTTCTTAAGCCTATAACATTTTGACAAAATCATTATGTCTTTAGCTAAAACATGATGGATTTAATCCAATTTTCCAAATCAAATTCTTTTGTTCATAAATTCGTAACACTTTGTTTTAATCATTGATGTATTTAAAATCGATTTAAAGCATAGTAATTAATTTAGTTGATAAACATTTCTCCGAATTAGAAAAGATTTCAGTAGATGCGAACCCCTTTGTAACTGCGGAAACTATATGTATATCATATTATAAGCCACTTCAATTAATTAATGATATTAATTAATTGTGCCTTTTAGGGAAAAATAATTGTTTATTTTTTCTGGAATTATTTAGTTTAATTATTATTTTTTATGTACATGTTCCATTTAGCACTCACACACACACACGCTCATAAAACTTAAAACTGTATATTTATGACGCACGCATACCAATACACATAACCAGAGACTGACCAGCGACCTGTGCGTGTGTATGTGTATGTGTATGTGTTATTATTTGCGTGCGCATTTGTGTTTATTCGCATATTGAATATTTTGTATTTCCTTGCATTCTGTTGTTGATGTTGTTTTTCCGTGTATTGTTTGTTTGCGATTCCCCCCAAGCCCCCAATTGCTTTTGATGCTATGAGTGTGTGTGTGTGTGTATGTGTGTGCTATGTAACTGTAACTGTCACTGTAACTGTAACTTGTAACTTGTAACTGTAACTCGTAACTGTAACTCGTAACTGTAACTACAAATGTATGCGTGTCAGGCAACGTGAACGGCGTGAATGTCATTGGCCTGCATCTGCACAGGGCGCCGCCAACGACCTGCGCGGCCAACTGCCACACCCACGCGTATGCAACATACGCCCACAGTCACGGCCAAGCTCCGAGTGGCCATGGCCATGGGCCACAGGCGACGACGCTGAACGGCGCCACGGCCGCCATGTCTGCGGGCTACACAGCAACAACGACGACGACGTCGACGCCGCTGCCGCCGCCGCTGCTGCTGTCGGCCGCTGGTGGTGCTGCTGCCCCTGCTCCTGCTCTTGCTCCTGGCCCCTCGTACATCAGTTGTAAGTGTTGTCTTGTCCATGTCTTGTCTAGAATTCTTATACTTTTTGTCCCCAGCAACCCAGTCTGACCCCGACTTACACAATCGCATGCATCCTTGCAATGGGCATGAAATGTTTGATATATTTTTAAAGACATACGCAATTTCCTTTTAATGGCTTGGTAAAAACTTTTATGGAGCACCCCTTGTCAGCCACAGGTCCACCAACGCACAATTAGTGTGGCGCTTGGAGCTGGGTGAGCTGGGGGGGGCTTGTTGAAATTTATTGCATGCTATAAATTTGAGTGCTATAATTTTGTCACTTGAGAGCATTGAGTCAATAAAAATAAGGACAAAACTTTTTTATGTTTCGTTAGCATTTTGAAAGCATTTTTCGCATTTCTCTGTGCACACATCCTTTTGCCCAATTTTCTATTTAATTTTAATTACAATTTTATTATGATAGCAAAATGCCTCTTTTATGCCATATTTCGAATGGCCATTTTCATCTTGCCACACACACACACACACACACACATACAAACGCACTGAGCCAAAGGCTTGGCACCATAGAAAAGTTCATTTACCGTCAAACAAATTGAAAAACTTTTTCCATTTGCTCGTCCAGCAAAGCTGTGGAAAAATTGCCCAAACTGAAAAGGAAGCAAAAAATTTGTTACGTCCACCCAATGTAAAAACGTGTCCAAAAATTTAAGCTTCACAGTTCGCTCGATGTGCATTTTAATTAAAGGACTTAAGGACTGCAACGCAAGTCAACCGTAAAGTGCTTTCCCGAGTTCCTTAGCTCCTGGCGCCTGAGGAATTTCACGCTGTCACTGATTAACTTGACGAACTTATATTTTCACTGAGTTAATCAAATTGTTCACTAACTGTGCACAGTGCTGGAACATATTTTATATATAAACATTATATTATCTTCATTTCATATTGTGGTCAATGACCCGCCATTATTTTTTAAATGTGATTTATCTCGGTAAACGTAATTTGAGCAACGCGAGTGGTTTTTGATGCTCTCTCCATAAAAATATATATAGAGAAAACCTTATCAATCGTGTGAGAATAATTGCTAATGCAAATATGTCAGACAGTTCTTTTTGGGTAAGCCCAACTAAGAATACCCTGTACCGCTCGTCAAGTTGACATTGGAAGCATACATTCTTCCTACATACATACATACATACATACATGCACACATGTACGCAGGTGTGCTTGATTTATGCGGCAGCTGCTCTATGCGAAATGTACTCTAGAATTTATAGTCAAATACTTATAACATTTTCAGGGGTTACATATGACACCCAGGTGTATAATATATACTAGTACGTTAGGTACCCACTCGCACGATTTAATTTAAAATAAAGCCTTGAACACTTCAAGTTTCGGTTCGGCCCTAAATGGAAAATATATTTTTTATTAAATACATGCTGCAGAACATGTACCCTTAAAAATTTATAAAACAACATATTCATTTTTATAAAAGGTTTAAATTTTATAAAAATAGGCATTAAGTTCAAAATAATTAATTATTATTTAAAAATACAAATTTTGTCATGTATTGTAGGATAATATTTAAAATTAAAGGGGAAGTTTTTTGGAGTTTTAAGTTCTTCTAAGAAGTCAAGCCTCAATTGAGGCTTATAGTTTATGTAAAGTTATATAAATCAGCTAAACACAAATGTTCGAATGGCATCTGTTTAGTCTGACAATATTGATAATATCAGTGGATGCTAAATCATATGACATAGCATAAACACCCCGACTTAGGGCATAAAAAACATCGAGTATTTCGGTTGCCGTAAAAGCCGCTGGCGAATGTCGTGTTTTCATACAAATAATTTGTCTATGCGAAAGTGCAGTGCTTGTAGCAAATGTGTTGAAAAATGAATATGTATTTTAAACAGTTTTTTATATTGCTGATAACTCTGCAAATACTTAGTACGCGCTGTTCTGAGCAATCTTTAGACGTAAATACTTTACACTCATCCGACACTGAATTGGATGCTTGGCAGCTGAACAGATTGATCGAAGAATATGAACAAAGTATTCAGGAGAACGAACAAAAATTATCTGAGCTGGAAATTGAATTCGAAACTCAATTAGCCAGTGTTGACTTTAAAGACTGGGTAGATCTCAGTACTGAACTTGCTGATAAACATTATCAGGAAGCACGCATAGCCGAATTAGAGTTAAAAGTGAAAAAGCAAGAATATCGACTTGAAAAACAGGAATATATTCTAAACAAGTACAGAGAGGAACATGAACATCTGCCCAGCCAGTGTTTACTTTATGCTGGCTTATTGGATAATACTCAACTTATAAAAGTGGGAAGTATGGAACCCATATTGGTGCGTTGTAAGGTTGAGCACGGTTCTCCTTTCATGGTTATACAGAGACGTTTGGATGGAACAGTTAATTTCAATCGCAGCTGGACAGAATACAAAGAGGGCTTCGGAGATGCCAATAGCGAGTTCTTTATTGGTCTCAACATGATGCACCAAATAACAACCCAACAAAGGCATGAACTACTCATTATTCTAACAGATTTCAATAATGAGAATCGATTTGCCAGTTACGATAGTTTTGTCGTTGGCAATGAAGATGAGAGTTATGCATTAAAAGAGCTGGGTAGTTATTATGGAAATGCCGGCGACGCATTAATATATAATAAGCTCATGAAGTTTTCAACCCATGACAGAGATAATGACGAACACCCAACAAATTGCGCCGTTAAGTTACAGGCTTGGTGGCATAAATCTTGCACCTACAGGTAGCTAAATGATAATTTGGAATAGCTAGACTAATTTGATTTTATTGATTTTCTTTATGTTTTAAGCAATCTCAATGGCATATACCCTGGACCAAGTGTTCAGCCAGGCTTGGGCATCTTTTGGATGCCTTGGGCTGGTCAAATTCATCGTATAAAGACGGTACAAATGATGATTCGACCGAAATTCATATAATTCTTGCTTCAATAAAAACTTAAAAATTTTGTGTCTTCAGAACAATTCTTGTTACCTTTCTTACCTCCTGTATTTCTATGGTAAATCCATATGTAAAATGTACCATTTGACAAGTCTTGAATGTTGTCAAAGTTTCAAAGTAATGACACTCAGTACATATCTTTAAGCTGGTTGTCAAAACAAACGATATAATAAGTATTGTTACTTTCATTATTATTATTATTATTTTTATAATTATTATTATTATATTTATATATCTTTTATTATTATTATTATTATTATTATTATTATTATGATTATTATTATTATTATTATTATTATTATTATTATTATTATTATTATTATTATTATTATTATTATTATTATTATTATTATTATTATTATTATTATTATTATTATTATTATTATTATTACTATTATTTTTATTAATATTATTATTATTATTATTATTATTATAATTAATTTTATTCCAGTTACTTGATTAAAAATTATTCTATGACATTTCTAGCTAATCTTCCCACTCTTGACTTATTCAAATTTAAGCTAAACCTGAACTGTAATTTAATAATTTTAACATCTTCAAACGTAATAGCCGCACCCACTTCCTTTTCCTGCTGGCACTTCCTGCAGATTTCTAAAATGTGTTGCGCTCTGTGCGAGAGCTGTGAAAAATTTGATTTCGCTGTGACCGGAAAATACCGTAGTACGTGCTGCAGCCAGGAGTATTTGGCACAAGTTTTAAGCACAGTTCTTGCGCTTTCACTTAGGTGACTGCTCCACAGCTCTCCTCGACCCTCTTTCTTGTGCACGAACTTCAAAGAGCATAAAAATAGCAAGTAAATCATTAGCAGGCATAGTTGGTGGGCGTGAAACTGTGGCAAGGTTTCTGTCGACTTCTAGTGGTCATTAAAATGGGCAACGCACTACAACTGTGGCGACACGGGGGCGTCAGCATATTTATGGGCACAGTGGTGCGCACAGTGGTGCATATTTGCATGCAAGCAACGCACAAGCATTTAAATGCAATTGCGTCAGAATCAGCTCTGGACATTGCAACATTAAAAAATACCTAAAGGCATTCTGTTGAAGAAAGAGTGAGGGTTGGAGAGAGTGTAGCGCCATTTTTTTTCTGAAGAAAAGCCTCTATTTATTTTTACGCCCATTTGGTGGGCGTGTTGCCTGCTCCACTTGGTGCATGGTGCCTGGCAGCTGCGGCGAAAATTAATTTTTACACCCTTACATCGGGTACTTTAATAATATCACTAACCTTGCTCAGCTCCATTAAGTATATAAATTCATGATCAAAATAAATACTGACTAACAAGTAGCAAGAAAACATATGTAAATTATAATTCTTACGATTTTATTACACTTAGATTTTATTTAGTTTAGAACAGCTTGTTAATAAAGCCTGCATATGTAAGGGTATTTATTGGCCGGCACAGCAACAGTTTTTGTAATTTCTTGTTGCGAGTATTTTAAATTGTTGCTTTTGCTGGAAAAACTGCCAAGTAAAATATTTTCACACTACTTGCTGGCAAGTTTGCGCTTTTCTGGGCGCATGTTTTCCAACGCTTGCATTTTTAATGGCTAGCGAAAAGCCGCCTGAAATGGGAAAATTGCAGAGAAATATAAGTATTTATAATAGAAAATATAATAGGCTCATATTTAAGTAATATATTAAATAGCAGTAAGCAATCAAAGTTCTTACGAAACGAAGTTTATAAAATAAACTAAATGTTGTAAAATATTGCAAGAGAAAGACTTAAAAAGCAAATAATATAACTATTTGTAGTATTTTATTTATGAAATGTTTGTTGGTATTTTTTTTTGCAGTAAACCTAAATGTTGCATTCCAAATAATAAACATAAATAACATTAATCATTTTTTGCATGTCCTTAAAATACATTGAAGTAAAATTTGAGTTTTGATTGCGCACTTATCGAAAAATATTATGCACATTTTCACTTCCCCAGCAAAAACTTTTGCCTTTTGATGAAAATTATAATGTGTATGTATACAAAAAGAGAACAAAAATTTGATTTTATAACTTTTAGATTTTTTTTTTAAAACTTTTAACAACATACATAGGAAAAAAAAAGTACAGAATTTCCTGCGTGCCTTTTTAAAGTTTTCGCACGGCCACGAAGGACTTGTGATTGTTTGCAATTTCGTTTTTTTTTTTCATTTTTTAACTTTTGCTTTAACTTTTTGTCCGGCGTTACATTGTTTACTTCTGGCCTCACAACTTAAACATTATACTGGTTGCCTTTTAGCGGACTACTTAAGCGTGCCGGCAGTTCAGAGTCTACAGCCGAGAGCGGCAACCACTGGACATGATTTTATGCTGCCTCTACAGCCGAAACTTGTCGCGCCTCTGGGTGAGTTGATAATTTCGTAAGGCCGCATAACTTTCTGATAGATAATTGTGTAAGCAGGCGGGCGGCTGGGGAGGGAGACAACATAGTTGAACCCACTTGTAACCACATACGCGCCCTTGGGCCAAATGCTTTCAGTGCCATTGTTGAAATGCCATTTCAAAGCGCCGCACAAAAGTGGAAGGCTATGCGGTGGCGGGGGCGGGCTCTGCCCGCAACTGCATCTGCATTGTGGCCAGCTGTGCCGGTTCGTTTCGTGTGTCCTGTGCAAAAGTTTCCACTGATAACAGTTTGGGTCAATATTAGCACAGTGGGCACACAGCTGCCTGCACACTGTCCCGGGTGATAACCCAATGCGCTGACATGCGCTTGCACTTCCGTTTCCGTCGGTATCTTCGCCATTGTCTGCTCGCAAATTAAAGTGGCAACATATATTAAGTACAATGTTTCGTTCGACTGCTTTTCATTTACAGAACGCAAAGAACAGCATCCTTTGCAGCTGACCGCTCACAACTTGGCCTCGGATACGCATCAACTGTACGCCGGCCATGCCCATGGGCCCAAAGCAGGCACCGTACTAAATGTGCCGCCCACCATCAGCATGACGCACACACAAATGCCGCCGGGCATGGCCAGCATGGGGCAGCGCACACCGAATCTCAGCTACCGGGCAACACATACGCACACGCATGCGCCCATCCAGCAGCCCATACCACAACACTATCAGCACCTGGGCTCATCAAGGTCAAGCGGTCTGGAGTCGACCAACTGCAATATCCAAATCTCAGTAGCTGGTGCCGCTGGTGCTGCTTGTACAGAGGAACTGAAGGCGCCCAAAGTTACGCTTCTTGATGATCTGAGCGATGAGGTTAACTCCTCAACGGATGACTGCGCTGATTGCTGCCTGGTGGATGACAGTGATACGTACGAGGCCAGCAATAACAATGGCTCCTGTGCGAATCAGGAAGTCGAGCAGGAAAGCGCCACTGCCGAGGATAGCGGTGACAGTTTGGGTGGCATTTACATTGGTCCCACCCATTGATTTTTGGCCATTAAATGGGAATTTCCATGCTAGGTACGTACAAATGTTGACATTCATATGTGTTTGTGTATATGCAGGCCATGCCCAGTAAACAATATTCCGCATTTTGTCGCTAACTTATATACCCTTTCTATATGATTGCAAAGTAATAGACCCTCAGCTTTTAAAGGCATTTGGTGCACAGAAATATTAAATATCGTGGCCAACATTAATACTGCTATCTTTTATACTTAAAGTACTGATAATTTTTTATATTCGTTTTGTCATTTTTAATAATAATTTATTTGTTCCTTTTCCAAAATTCTAAACGAGTTCATACTTGATAATTATTTTGAAAAAACTCTGTCTGTCTGTTTAATGAAATTTATGCATTCTTCCTATATAATTTTGACTCTCCCGGCTTGAAAAAATATAGGAGAAGGTTCAAAGAATAATATATCTTTGTATGCAGTCAGTTCCCTATTTTTACTATTTTTAGTAGTATTAGGGATATCATGTAACTCCCAATGAATTAAACTGTGTTAAATTAATAATCTTCATGGAATAGAAATATATTCCTCTTTCTTCCCTTGAATATACCCCATATCGTGATGTGTAAATATTACCCACCACTCGAGAGTGTTCAAAATATTAAATGCTTGCCTGTTTTATATTCCATCATCTGGTGGAAATTAAGTTTAATAATAATAAATATACGTTTTGGAAACGACCCAGACTCGGTCAATAGCCAAACATGTCTTGAGTATGGCGGCGAGCATCCGTAACATTTGTGTTGTCCTTATAACTGTCATGTTGACAACTGTCATTGACAGAGATATATGTATCTAAGCATCCGGCAAGGGACTGGCTATTTTCATGCCAAGACAAACACACAGCCGGACAGTGCACACAGGCAAACATATCATCCATATAAACGTGTCCACTTATTTGTCTGGGGTGGGGATAGTTGTTAAGCCAGCTCCCTGCCTTTTTCCGCTTTATTTCTCGAATCGGGTCTCCAGTGACTGTGTCTGACACGCCAAGGTGTTCATTGTATAAATCTTGGGCAGCTGTAAACATGGAACTATAAATTTTAACACTCGAGTAAACTTCACCTATTTCTTTTCCATCTTTTGCGCTCTCCTCTGTCCGATTTTTAGTGGAACGCTCACTGAAAGTTCGAATAAAGAGTGTCAATCGGGATTTTTATCTGACGCATTGACGTCCACCATTTCAATGAACTTACAAATAACTAGTAAGAGTTACTAGAACAGACTGAGATAACAAAACAATACCCTGTACAAATAATGCCATTCAAGTACGTCTCAAAGAAATATACCGAACAGTGTTTGTCTTAAGTTTTTTAAGAACTTCAGTTGCTTAAAATCATTTTGAAATAATTTGATAGCTTTAATAAGTTTAATATAATTTAACTATTGCTATTACTATTCTTATCATTATCAATATCATTAACAATATCATTATCATAATCAGTATCCTTATAATTATCATTTACATTATCATTATCAAGTTATCATTGTTTGATTCAAACTATTTCTCGTTTAGTTTCCTGCACGAATGGGTCACTAATAGATAGCTGAATAATAGATAGATATTTACATTAGAAATATTTTATTAATTGATGAGGGTTTTTGGCACAGACAGATAGCCGCAAAAACAGACCGCAATGCAATCATTTATAGCACACTTCAGCAAAGAGTAGTTTGAATGAAATCAGATTTCAATTTAGTTTTGTTATATTAATATGTATATGTATATAGAAATATCACCAACCTTCTTTTATATATCATCTTTGTCTGTTATAACTGACACAGGGTACAATACAATGTCGACACAATGGCGGCCAAAGCTAAAAGTACAAGGCGCCAAGCTAAATTTTATTCTACCCCAAAAAGGACATTTTCCCATTCCTTGCTTTTACCCAGGCGTGGCTGCAGACAGATATATACATATTAAGTTGGTCGACTGATAAGCGGCAGATTTGACTTAAGTTTTTGACTATTTAACATTTTACTGAATTAAAGTGGTTTATATAAATAGGAAATCGAATATGTCAAAGAGAAAAAAATAGAGAATACTTTTTGTAAATATTGTTTTAATTTTTAGGGCAGGGTATCAAGAAAAATTTAAATAGCGCATGTCCATTAAAACTTATCTGAGGTTCAAACGTAATTTTTGGTCCAATACTTATAGTTTTTTGATGTGTAATAAACTAAATAGAGACAACACGGCAGAAATGTAACGCGAAAACTAAATTTGGGAGAAAACAAAACAAAGAGATAGAGTATAAAAGAACTAAAGGAGTTGCAGAAAGTATATACTTATATAAATGTAAACCAAATCGAATGATGCGTCGTAGGAAATATAGTAAGTAGATAAGTAAACAAATGATTAGTAAGGCTCAAGAATCTCGTTAAAAATGAAGAAACATTTTAATTATTACCTATTTAAAATTCAATAAAATCAATTTTAAAACATAAGAAATTTATATAACGAAATGATAATTGTTTTCGTAATTAATGAATGGTATAAATATTGTTAACTGAAGTATCAAATTTATTTAAGCCTCTTCAACAGCAGCAGTGATACTTTGTTCTATATAGCCCATTACTCTTTGTTAATTTAAGTAATTCAACAGACTCCAACGTTCATATATTACTGATATAAAGTAATATAAAATATAGAAATTATTACAGTTTGGCTATGGCTCTTCAATTGAAACATTTGTGTACATTTTGTTAATGTAAATTATAATTGGTCTTATGATGAAAAGTAATTTAATTGCGTTATTGCATAGCAAAATTTAATTTGAAAAATTGAAAAACGACAAACTTTGTCAAAATGGAAAGCAGGAATACAGTTGAACAAATTCTGTAATTATAAATATAACAATTCACCTGCCCTCCCCATTAGCATGAAGCTTAATCGAAACCAGGTGAATTAATATATAAAGGATAACCACTTTTTGGATTAAAAACTGTATGTAAATATAAAATATAGTATTTGAAAAAAAAACTATTAAAATAATGATAAAAAAATACAATTTGCATTAATTGAACGCACGAAGATAAGAACTCAAAAAACTGTACTTCCATAAATAAAAACGCCATTACCAAATTGTAATAAAATTAAATTACAATATACATATAGATATATATATATATATGTGTATATATATATATATATTAATTGTTTACAAAAAGCCCAACAATTTGAGCAAACTTTTAAATGTTAACAGTAACACAATTTATATTTAAACAAATTAACAAATTGTGGTGTGTGTGCGACAGCAAAAAATTTCCAATTTTAAAAATAAAAATAAAATTTCTTTGAATATACACAAAACCAAGGACTGCAAAATTTCATCAGCAATCTACCAAAACACGTACACCCATACACATGGTAATTTTGCTATGGAACAAGGTAATTCAATTTTTTTCTTACAGCACGCAAAGGGAAGCCTTGTCAACAACAAACAGCCTTATTTTCTATTTCCTTGAAAAAGGCATTTTCATTTTGCGAGAAGTGCAGATATTTGCGGTACTTTTTTTAAAAAATAAGTCAAAAATTAAAGCGTAAGATAAAGGTAAAGTTATGGTTAAGATGGTTAAGGCTATCTAATATCAGAGACGAATTTCTCGTCTGTGCAGCTTACATAAGTTTATTTTCAGTTAAGTAAAGTTTTATTAAGTGTAACATTTGAATATGCATAGAACTTAAGTTAAAATGCATTAAGTTAAAATTTCTTTAAGAGTTGGATATAAAACTATGCCTAGACATGTAAACCATTTATATTTGTGTATTTTAAAGGGTATCTTATCTTCCGCATTTTCAATGGCCATTATTTCTTGTTAATTTTAAAAGCAAACACACCAGCCGCCATTTAGCCATTAACGACGAATCAGCAAGGGCTAGAAATTATAGCCACATAGCCCTCATATGGCCATTCCGCAACAAATTTATGTACGCCGCATTTTTAGGGGGCGAAAAAATAGGCTGAGGACTGCAGCACACACATGAATACACACGCACGTACTGTTATGCTTAATACGGTATAAACCGTTTGCACATCAAAGCGCAAATCCATTAGGCATAAAACCGCCAGGCAGGTAGAAAAAAAAAGCTGATACGAAAAGTGAGAAGCTTATCTATGTGAAAGTACGTGCATGTGTGTGACTGTGGCTGGGTGGCCCCAAGAGTGTGCTAAGCTTGGAGGCGGCTGAGAACCGCCGAGAGAGGCGACTCGAAAGCGAGCACAAGATAAATGAGCAGCACCTGCCTGCCGACAAATTATTTGGCATAATTCACTTTGAGCCCTATTCGCATATGTTTCTGGTTTTCGGTTGCCGAAATCTCGACCTGCTGCTTAATATTTCATGGAAAATATGCGTGTGTGCCCTTGGTACAAGAATAAGAAAATAGGCAAGCATACTGTAAACAAAAAGGTGGCTTGGCTAGGCAATACGTTGAACCTAAACAAAATTTAAATTGAATCCTGAGGGTTTTTTTTTTTCAAAGCATAGACTTGAAAAATGAATAAGCTAAGAAAAAATTTAAATACTGTTCTTAGCGGCGCGGTTGGAATTCTGCAAGTCAAGTATACACCAATTTGATTATAATATATTTTATGTTAAGTGCATAGGTGGCATTCAAATGCGTCTATATACCTAATCACAAGGATCTATATTTAAAATATACTTCTTTTTTGTGTTATGGTGGGGGATAGGGGAAGTTTCCAAAAATAGAAATATCCCTTAAGCTCTTAAAACTATGCCAAATTTTGTATTATACGTTTCAGCTCATCCTCTAACCATTATACCCCTTTCCTTACCCATTTTCCATGGGTACAGGATATTAAAAAATAAAAAACAAAAAACAAAAAGTATTAGCTGCAAATAAAGGGAATGTTTTCTAGTAACATTCATAGCTTCGTCCTTGGATACAAAAGAGGTATTTTTTAAATGAATATTTATTAGTGATTCATATAATGTTTCACATTAATAAAATTTGTACCCTGTTTGTATAGAAATAAAATACTTTATTTTGTACGAAAAAAACGAACTGGAGAGTTCTCAAATTTAACCCTATTTGAAATAATATCACAGTCGCTTTGTTTCTGTTTAAGGACATGATTTTAAGCCTTGTCAAACATTGACCAATTTTTCTTGAGAAAATTTCGAAAATGCTTGAGAGCCAGTGAAAATTTCCGCCTAATTCGCAAAGATGCGCAGTATCTAGAATCAAGCTGAGTAGGCGTAACAAAATGCAGGGTCAAATGTAAGCCGTTAAATCATACTTGACTCAATAAATCTTCACACAGCCAGTTTTTTATTTATTCGTCAGCTACGTGCCCAAGCTAATCAAATGAATTGTTTTTCCAGTGAAAGTTAGTCGAGTAATCAAAGTTAGCAGATGTAGCCTGTGCTTACGCCTGTCCTGCTTGGAAATGCAATACAATCTGTGAATGTTCTTTTTTTTTTTTTTACTTATTTCGCGATTGTTTCCAAGTGTTGTGCAGCGACCACACTTTTTTCTATTGCCATGTGCTCTAACGATGATTGACGATGATTGAACGTTACAGGCGCAAAACCCACAATAACAATAACAACAACGGCAGCGGCAGCGGCAGATGGTTTTTATTTGTCTACCAACTGTTGGATTAAATAATATGAAGTGTTTTCGTCAGCTGGTCAAGCTTGGGATAAATAAAACATAAGAAAAACAACTTTCACAAAAGATTAATTTATATATAGTAATTTTATACTCAGTATATTGACCGGCTTGATCGGTATTTAGCAATGTTTTTGAAGCATAACTTTATAGTAAAAGTTACTTACATTAACAACAGGCTTTTCAACAAGTACCCAAAACGAAGATTGAATATTTAATAAGACTTGATAATTTTAATAGGATATTAAAGATTTTCATCAATATTATATTTTGTTGTGCCCCCATTTTCTACTCAATTTCCCAGTCTAATTATAGACTGAAATACAGTGCTGGAAACGCACTCATTTCGCATATGTTATTATTATTTCTTCGAAATTTTGCAACGAAAAATATAAACTGAAAAAAGAAAAATTAAGAGCCAGATTTCCATTCATTTTCCATTCCATAGCAGTTGAATCTAATCAAATCGTCTACAGTACGTCCTTACCAAATTATATTTAAGTCTGCATGAGTTTACTTGACACCAGGCGCACATCTAATACAGATTTTCCTCTTATTGCTTATTGGCTTATTGCTTTTGAAATTTCCTTTTCTATCAATGAGTATAAGCTCGCCAAAATTATTGGCATAACAGAAACACTACAATTCCAATTTAATTAATCGATGCATAACTGATTATTTTATTAAATGGACGTGTGCCCCGCCCTGTAAATAGCATTCAACAGTTAACGAGCTTAGTATGTTTGTTTATATGCTAAATTGTTCTCCACTCGGATTTGGGATCTCATTAATATGCTCCACACTGGACAGCTATTGCCGACCCACCCGTTTTGCGCCGAGTGACACACATTTGGCAGGCAACTAAAGGCCTAGCTCTGAAGTCAGAGAACTTTACTGGCAGCACCCGCAAATTCTCATGTTTTGTTCTTGTTCTGTTCGTGCAACGAAATTTATTGTTACAGATATAGCCAAAATGGTGGGGGGGCGTGGGGCAACAAATGGGACTGGAGGAAAGTAAATTTCCGTTGCGTGTAGCGTAAAAGTCGTGTCGAGATATGCAATCGCAATATAAATTCCAAATAGATAGAACACAACACGGAATTGCGAGGACATGATTTGTTTAGTGGGAGACCCACCAATTCAGTCGGTATCTTCTGCTTCATCATCCAGGCCTAACCCCTCTTCGTCATCATCCTCCTCCTCCTGCTTACAGCGTCCACGTCTGGGCGGAAACATGGCCAGTTTGCAGGCTCTTAGGGTGCGGCGTCTGTCGCTGTTGTTCATGCGGCAGACGATTCTCAGCATGCGCAGCATTTGTTGCCAGTTGCGCCTCATCTTGCGCACGGAGTTGACCAGGCAATACTTGGTATCGGTGGCTTCGATAATGAACCACAGTAGCGCTCCACTCACTGCAACAGGGGTCAGGCTATGCAGCGAGTACTCGTGCAGCCCGTGTAGACAGTCATCAAGGTCAAGTAGATGAATCAGCTCCTGTGTGAGCCAGAAGATTACGCGTTCCACGCCGCACCAAACGATCAGTGTTGCGATCTCGGTCAGCAACAGGCCGCCCACAATCTCGACAAGCAGCTGCCAATGCCTGGCCATGTGCATAAAGCGACATGGATAGATTTTCAAGTCCCATAGAAAACAGAGTGTCGCCAGCAGAAAGACCCAGCTGCCGAAGGGCGGTGAGGGGGAGCACTGATCCTCCGGCTGTTTGATAAAGTAAGAGTAGCCCAGCAGCTGTAAAAAAGCGACTATGCTAATGGACAGCGTCTCCATTACATTTATGTATAACAGATTTATAAATTATATTTTATAAAAATAGCAACAATTTTGGAATTTCCTTTGGCTCAAGTATAAAACCCTTTTCAGTATTCTGTAGCTTGCTTTTTCCTATTTGTTTAATGTTTATGCAATGTAAACTTTTTAATTTATTTTAGGAATTTAATGACACATAAAGGAATACAAAATAGATTGCATATTGCATTAAAAAGAAAAAACATTTTTATTTTGGATTTTTGTTGACTATGGGCAGAGCTGCACTATATTTGGGTAAACAACAGTTTCGAAGGGTAAGTACATATAAGCTATATATATATTATTGGCACTGTCTATATTTACATACGTATGCGCATATATTTTGTATCTATATTTTGATCAATGCGCTTAGTTACACTTGCTTGGAATTCTAGCCTTCAGTTAAGTTGCCCTCACGATCTTATACTCATTATTGACATTTTAAAGTATCCCTAGATATAGTTTTCAAAATATCTATATATTTGGGGAATCTTAAGAAAAATAATGAGTAGAAATGTTCGGCCTGCCGAAGATCAACTATTAGTTTGGCATATTGGTGTCTACTAAAATCTTTTTGAAGCACAAACTTTATATATCATAAATATGATTTTGTTGTCACATCTGGCCTCTTGGAGGTGCCTTTTTCGACGCATTAATACTTTTGTAACAAATTTATAAAACTTTGAAAGCCCAAATTGCTAGTTGTGGCTGGGCCTTAAAGGCGTAAATATAATAAATTTATTTACCCAAATTTATTTTGGAATGCATTAGCTAATTGCTCCGAGGTGTAGCTAATGGCTATACTCAACACATTTGTCTACATTTCTTCCAATTTCTATAGAGTGAGTTATATGCTAATGCAAATATTATATTACTTTGTATTACTATGGGCTTAAATAGCTCGGTTGATGAACACAATTTCAAGTCACTTATTTATTTTTTAAATTCTGATGCCAGATACGAAGGCTCTGGACTTACTCTTAGATATTGTTTAAAGGACCTAACAAACTACACAGATGGGCCTAATGGAAAGCTGTAGACAGACATAAAGTGCCAACAAATTAACATAACATTAACCGCAATTAATCAATTTAAGGATCCGTCCAAGCAGAAGCCAATTCCGAGATGCCAACAATTATCTAGCCATGTTATCTGTTACCTGACTCAAACTGTAAGCTTGTATTTAAGGAATGGGGCCAACAGGCTTGACTAACTGACAGCGGCAGGTCTACGACAGCAAGTTCACACTCACACACACACACAAACTCTCACACCCATATATACTGTGTAACTGGCATTTGAATAGGGTTCGTTGTTGTCGCTGCTTGATATTGGGTTTGCTTCTGGCCAATGGTTGTCTGGCTGCCAGGCTGTCTATTTAAAAATTGATTTGTTGTTATTTACATGCCGCATTATTTATCAAAGATCTCCTTTAATACGATGTTTACTGCCTATCAAACATTATCGTTGTCAGGGTTGGCATGTGCACGGCTCTAATAATTGTGTAGGTGTGTGTAGCAGAGGGGGATGTCCGCTTTAAAAGGGGATTCCTATTGAGAATTCAATTTGTAAGTGTCAATGACAGTTTAGTAGATGTCACCTCTATTTTTTTTTCCTTTTGCCCATTTTTATTGGCATTTTCTCCAGTGAACCGAAAATCCCAGTTGATTTGCAAAGCAACAAGTTGCCCGGCTGATGACCAGAGCGATGGGGAATCCAGTTGGGGTTCGATAAGGTGGCACCGCGTGACTTTTGTTATTGAATGCGACGTGCAGCAAGGCAGCACGTTAAATTGGCAATGCTAACGTATTTATTACCATAATTGCTACAGTTCGAGCTATGTGCACGACAGTTTGTGCGACGGGATCGGAAAACTGTTGGGCTTGCATAAAATATAGGGATTGTGTGTAATTGAAATCAGTCGCTTAGAAAAATCAATCAAATTTGTGCGCGGCGTTTTTAAACGGGTTGCCAGGAAATACACCCGCTGTCTATCTTTATTAAAATAAAATACAAAATTTAAAAAAAAAACTTTGGTTTAATAGACTAATATTTTAAAAAGATAATTACCAATTAAATTTCGATTTTATCATTTTGAATATTAACAGTTTACACGCTAACGAAAGAGCTCACGTTTAGAATCGAATAGATAGTTGATAGTTGTATAATTTTTAAATTAATAAATATTAAAAATATATATAATAAATAAGTAAAAACAAGAAATCAAACGATTAGAAGCAAGGGATAGGGACCAAAGGACACACATTATTAATTAAATAAAAGTAGTCTGAATAATAATATATATATAATTTCATTGGTTTTAGTCTTATTTTCTTTAAAGAATTGCAAAATGTTTAGCATTCATCCTAAAAAATTTTAATATATTATGTGTATGCCAAAAAATTAAATTTGTTTTCAAAGTAATCTTTCATCAGTTACATTCTTGCAACAAAGCATGTGAAGTGCACTGAAGAACACGTAACTAAATAATCACATGAATTATAAATGGCACGTGCAATATACTACAGAATTGAAAGTAATTTAATAATATATAAGCTAATGAGAAAATAATGACTATAATGCCGTCAGTCATTAACTGTGTACACAACTTTAACTGACTGCGAAAAATAATTTGCGCTTTTGTGCTACCAAACTCAAACCGAATCCGAAAAGAGGTTTGCTCGGGATTGTAACAGCCAAGTCATGCACTTAAAAGTGCACGTATGCATGTGTGCGTGTGTGTGTGTGTGTGTGTATTGTACGTGTACATAATTTCACACGTGCAATTTTAATGAACTTTTCACACTCATTACACTCAATGGACAAAGAGACAGAGCAGAGTTGCGCGCACGGCATTCCCGTACACACATACACAGATACAACCGAATACACGGAGCGCCAGTTAACTTCCGGTTCCGGCACTTTTTGTAACCGCACGCAAGACATGTCAGAATGTGCTAGATGCATGTGCTCGACTTGCAGCTATCATGCAATTAATTGGAGTTCTTGATTAGCTTTACAGAAAAAATATATTAAATCAAATGTTCAAAAAATATTCAGATGCAGTATATATTTGTTCAAGATTGAGCGTGATACAAAATACACGATGGAAGGGCAATGTTTTGAAAAAAAAATTGTATTCAATTGGAATTTGTATATACTTATAAATATAATAAGTCAAAAGCTGATAACAGAGCGGCGACGCAAGTATATTCTATATACATACCTATCACTCTTAAAGATTTGTGGCAGTGAAACGGTTGGCAATCTCGGATTAAATAAAATGAAAATACATACATATACTTTATTGGAAGTGTTTGTTATGTCATTTTTAGTGCAATCAAATAAACATTTCACAAAAGGCTGGGTATGTGCCTTATATAGTGTAAAGAATTTATTAAAAGTTAATAATGTTCTCTGCAGTCGTCGAAACACAATAAGGAAAACGATTTGCAGTGTGAATTTTACTGCTATAAAGTGGTAAAGCCGCTTCTAAGCTATGCCGCCTCTGTTAGAGCAAAGGAGGAGCAGTTCTCAGAGTTACAAAAGAAAATAGATAATCAAGATGCACTTATCGCATACTTAAAGGAGGTTATCAGACAAAAGGACAATCTAACCGCCACATCTAATAAAACCATTTTAATTCAGAATGATTTTCTGATTACAATTAAGAAGCAACTTGCGTTAAATGAGGCTCAAATAACTAAAATGGAATCTGAAATAAAATTAAAAGATTCTCAAATTGATAAGAAAAATTCAGAAATACAGCTATTGCAATCCAAGATCAGTTCAGAGCTTGAAAACCTAATCAAGGCGAACACATTACCCTCAAGCTGCCTGGGAAAGTTGACAGATATCTATACGATTAAGGTGCCCAACATAGAGCCCTTCCTTGTACCCTGTGACTCAAAATTGGCCGACAACGGATGGACTGTTATTCAGCGTCGCGTGGATGGAAGCGTGGATTTCAATCGCGACTGGGACCAATACAAGGCCGGTTTCGGTGATTTACATGGAAATTTCTTCATAGGACTAGAGAAATTACACCATATGACTTTATCGCAGCCCCACGAACTATATGTATACCTTGCGGATTTCGAGAATAACGCACGTTATGCCAAATATAGTCACTTTCAAATTGGCAACGAGTATGAGTCGTACAAGCTAAAAAAACTTGGAACTTATTCTGGAAATGCTGGTGATGCCTTTAAAATTCATTTAAACATGAATTTTACAACAAAAAACAATGATAATGATACTTCGATGAAAGCGAACTGTGCTCATGATTTGTATTATTTTCGAAATAAACAAACTGAAAATTTAACTTTGATAAGATGTGCTGTTCGGCCAATTTCTCTCATAAGATCGTGTGTTTGCTGACAGACAAGTAGATGGACTGGACCTTGATAAGTGCAGGGTATAAAGAGATAGAGAGAGAGAGAGAGAGAGAGAGAGAGATACTTGTCTTGTCAAATCGTGCGCATAAAACTTTCCCCATGAAAAGTTGTACCTTTGCCTGAAATGTGCCCATTTTCCGACTCACGACAGGTTGACAGAAACAGTTGCAAGTACAACAACGACAACAACAACAACAACAACAGCAATGACACCGACAGTAGCAACTGATAACTGGATAAGGTAACAACAATGTTGGGTGTCATCTACTGGATGCTGCACACGATGTGGTCTCATTCGCATTCTACGTGATCTGTTGAGCTTCTATCGAGGCTTGTCAAAGGTGGCCATCACTTCCGGTTGCGTTTCCCCACCTTTTTTGGTGCAGTTCCGTTTGGCTATACTTGTGCCGCGTCTCAAGCTGCCGCCCTCGAGACAAATTGAATTCGTGCATTTTTTGTGCAGCGCATACAAATGGCGAACCAACTGGCGGCGACGTTGACTTTGTCGTTGAGGTTTCAATGTTGCCCTCACATCGAGTACTTTCATCTTGTTATATCATATGTTACGCATTAGAGTCTAAATAATTTGATTCCTAAAGAAAAAAGTGCATTCTTGATAAGAGAAATAGATAAAATATGTCAAATAGTCTTGATTATTGTTTATTTTATTGTAAATAAGTAGATGGACCTACTTCTGTAGCTTCATTGGACGATCCTTTGAATTGTATACTATTAATTTCTCAGTTTTGTTTTTATGAATGCCAGATTTACAGATACATTAGTTCGATTTCCCTTTGCAATAAGTTGAATTTATTATTAATGTGATCGACTTCTGCTGTCATAAACTCGATGGAACATAAAAGGGTATTCGGTCTTCGACTTCGACTGGCGATTTGAAACTTTCGTGTTTTTCTGGCGCATCCTGTGCCCGCTAAAAATCACGCTAATTGTCGCATGCCAAATGCGCTGTCGTCGGCATCATTGCATACAACCGGGTGCAGAGCAGGGCCGAGCACAGTGGTTGCGGTTGAGGTTCTGACAGGGTTCGTGACAGCTCTATTTGCATAAATTTGAATAAGAAATCGTCTGGAAGGTCTTGCGGGATTAGTAGACGGGGTACATTTGGGGTACAACACTGCAATCGCATTAGGCCAACTTTAAATTTTAACAGTAAAATTGATTTCCTATGTTAATTTGTTTGCAAATTTGTTATTACATCATTAAATGTCATCATTAAAATATACAATTAAATTACAGGTTAGTTAAGAATAGTTAAAGGAGTGGTTAATACAAATACATTTACTAATCGAGTTATATGTTGACACGCGACGAGCAAAATTTCGAATGTATTTCCATGTTTGACCCTATTTTTCTTTTGGTCTACCTTTCCGCTAAAGGCTGTGTCATGTTTTGACATGGAAATGCACGTCGTGACAGCTGTCGCATCCGCAGTTGCAGTCGCAGTTGCAACAATGCTTGGCATCTCATTTTTATCCGTTGGTGTGTGCTGCATATTATAAGGGCAGGGTCCCTACATAAGCAAAGTCAACGCTTTCAGCTATTAGAAAAACAATAACAAACACTTCGCCAGCAGCACCTAACAACAACAAAGCATTCCACGGCACCTGCCTCCTCTTCTACCCAAACAAAGATAAAGAGCGACGGTCAGCCACAAGCCGAACAATGATGACGATGCCGATGATGACACCCAGGTCCCAAAAGCCCCATGCATAATTTATGGGCGTGTGTAGTACCGCAAGGGGTGTGTAGGGGCAATGCACTGGCCAAGGGTGAAGGATGGGACGGGTGTGTTGCATGAGGAAAATTTGCATTTAAACACATTTTCACACTCATGAGCACCAAATTTGTGTAACAATTGCAGCTGCTCCAAACATTGGCTTTGATAGCAGAGTCAACAGTGAAGAGAAAAGGCTTTAAAAATACATTGGGCAGAGTTCAGTTACAGATTTGGTTAAATAACTGCCGCATCTATGCAAAGTTTATCTAGCACATGAGTTCAGTAAATTTTAAAAGTCAAACGCTGGGTAATGGGAAATTGATTTATGGATAAACACAAAAAACGACCGCAAGAGGAATAAATAACATAAGTCCATTAAGTTTATCGAATCGTTTAAATACCTCTTTATAATTATATAATTATTATTATTATTATCATTATCATTATTATTTTTATTATTATTATTATTATTATTATTATTATTATTTTTATTATTATAATTATTATTATTATTATTATTTTTATTATTATTATTATTAGTATGATTATTCAATAATTAAATTGTCTATATTATTTATATAAGAGTATTGAATATTCGACTCCCCGCGGCTAGTTCATGCTCATATAGGACTTTTCAGCCATGTACTTAAATGCGGTTAATAAGATGTGCACATATGTGCAAAGAGGAATAGTTGGAGAAATCGCGCGCTCTCTTTCCGTCGCTCTTTTGGCAGCCGTGACATTTTCCGATTGCGCATTCGCCACGTTGCCCGGCTCAAACATTTCAATTAGCTGGGCCAACAAAATTTTAATAGTTGTCAGCTGCACAGACTTGATAAATGCCAAAGTGCCAGCCAGTTGCTAGTCTTAAAAGCTACCCCTCCAGCCCTAGGCCCCCTCTCCAGTTGCCCGTGTTGTAGTCCTCGGGCCCCAGTTGAGAGCGTTGCTCAGCCTTCAGATTTCAGCTGTTTGTCCCTGGTTTGGCTGCACCTGACATTCAAACATTTAAAACACGATTTTCACATTTACCTTTCAATTTAGCATTGTTTTCTCTTTTGCCGTCGTTTGTCGTAACTTTAGCGTTGGCTTTGCTCCTGTTCTTATTCTTGTTTTCTTGTATTTTTATTTATTTTTCGTTTATTGTTGTTGTTGTTGTTATTCTTGTGCTTGTCTGAAAGAGGCGACATATTGACAAAAGTGTCTAGCTGCTTGAATTAAATTACGCTCCACGGTGCCAAAGATTCGATTAGGTTAAATCGAATTTCTTGGTTTGATTTTTGCCAATAAAAACACAAGCTAAGTCATTGTGCCAATAACTCGGCACCACTCGACATCTCTTACCCCTTTTGACGTCAGGCTAAATGTCTTTTTAAGGGGCGTTAGGATTTTGAATCTGCGCTTTGTAATGTTGCCTTTTCAGTTTAACGGAATTTCGCTTTTATTTACAAAATTTGTTAGCTTCTTAAAGATATATTTCCGATCAGAACGATTAGCTGAACCGACCCGTTCATCTGATTAATCTCCTTGTTTCTACTTAAAACCTAAGTTTTTACTTTATGCTCATATTAAATAAATTTATAAAATTAAATATTTCAGAAAATTAGCTGAAAGTAACACAAAGATAAAATGCAGAGTAGATAAATTTAAACTAATATAATATTATGAAATGAGTTTAAATAAATGTTTAATTAACTTCTTCTAGGGTATCTAAGCCAAGGCGCCTTTAGAAAGTTCATTCCTTTTCGTTATATTTTTTTTTCTCTTTTTGGCAACATACATAAATAAGATTTATAGGGGTAATAAAATATTTCATGCCCGAACAATTTTCAACTGTGAACACACCTCTTGTCAAACGACTGAGCAGCAGTTCTCTGAAGCAGAAATCGGGCACTTTCCAGTTAATATGCGAGCTGTTAGAGCCATTCCGCAAGTTGAGTTGCCTTCTGCAGTTATTTATATTACATATATTTCACCAACACATAAGTGTATTATCCTCTACTAACTCTGATAATAAATTTATTTCATTTTCGTACCTCACTTCCCAATGTAAGGAAAAGTATACTCTTGGGTTTGTTTACTTTTAACGCGAGTTTGACCGATGTTATGTATTAGACAACGCGTTTTAATTATAGCCCCACAAAAGCCTTATTTTGTTAGTTAGCAAATGTATTAAAATGTATAAAATAATTACCCTCCATATTTTTTAAATTCTGTAAAAGAGTATCTCACAGTCGGCTACTTCCAACTTTAAGGTACTTATTTATTTTCCAGTTTGTCACAATTAAATTTCTATATATTCTGGATTCGATTAAAACGATGGCAAACCTGCACATTTCTGGCATATTCTTTTTAATTTGAGTTAGGAGTGCACGAATATATACAAGAACGGTAGACGGAATATTTTTGCTAAGCTGTATAACTTATATCTTTATTGAAGCGGCTCTTAAAGGGATTAAGAATTTTCCGACAGCTAATGGACTATAAAATATTAAACCTTGCACTTGGCTTGGCTATTTGTGCGTCGTCAATGACAGCTAATGGTTGTGTGTATTTAAGTATCTGATCCCCTGTTGACGTTCTTGTCATTGTTATCTACTGAATAGGCTGGCTCATTGCTTCAGGCTATGCTTTTGTGTGCGTGTGCATGGGTGTATGGGCGTGCTCAAACAGTTTAATGCCTGGGATAACAAGGCGCATCATGTTACAGTTACACAGATACCGATATATATATGTACAGATATATATATGTCGGAACAGAGAAATCACTTTCTTTGCAATTAGGCATACTGGCAGTACAGCAAGTCCCGAGTGTCGTTATAGTCACAAAATAATTATATTTTTAGGAGCGAGCACGTCTGTTCTCTATGACTTCCACTTTTAGAATGAATAATTTTCATCGTCCTCGAGCATACTACTCATGCTCTTGTCATTCTATATTCTTCTCTGACTTTTAGTACTGTTAGTGAACATTCAACACTATAGCAAACTGGACGTTATACAACACACTCGGGCCATGCTCGGCAGAGACTATCTTTTTTTGTCTCACACCATGCTTTCAGTAGCAACCCTAATACAAGTAGGACAGTTATGTTAAATAGCAGTACCTTCTGTCAAATTCTCTGATTCTTACTAACACTTAATCGTTAGCATTCAAAATAATACTCACAATAATTTATTGGATACACGACACGGCCTTCCTGACATTTCACACGTCCTCGTGTGTACATTTCGCTTAGATCATGCCATAGTCAAAATTGTTGGGTAAAATTTATTAGTCATTACTTTACTTTAAGAATAGCTTTACAAACAGCAGTATCATCGGTCATTGTAGGTTTTATTTTTTTTTATTTTTTTTTTTTTTTTTTTTTTTTTTTTTTTTTTTTTGTTGTTGTTCTGTCATCACACGTCTATAGGCTCTTGCTGCCCAGCAACGATAATATGGAGCGGATCCATACAGGTCTTTCAACCTCTGACCCCCGCCATAATATCACCCGCTTCAGCACGCCATGATCGAGCACTTGTGCACGGCGTGAGTATTATGGTGCGGTCTTAGCCATCGTGTATGAGCCCAACCGCACTCTCTCTTAGTGCCACAGTGTCTTGAGCAATGTCCTCAACATTGTCACACTCATCATCTCTCAAATCTATCAACTCCTCCGATACATTGTTGCTTGGAAAAGCTCGCAAATACTCATGTGCATACTTAAACGTGCGCTTACTCGTCAATGACTTTAATAAATATCTGTCTCCATCAAGTATTTCGATTATCTCAAAAGGTCCCTTAAACTTGGGATCTAACTTCGTTTGATTTCGTTCTTCCCTCTTGAGTAGGACATGATCACCAAGCTTATATTTTACAATTTTTGCTTTATTTTTATCAAACCTAGCCTTATCATATTTAGCGTTATTC